ATTGTCAAAAACTACCCACCATGATTATCATGGCCTGTACCACGTGTATTAGGGATAAGCAAAAAAAAAAGCCCTTTTCAAGAGTATAGCTTCAGTATCATTATAAAATGCAATATTACAGTGGTATGGTAGATTAAACTGGCAAAACCGCTGGGAGGATTAACCACTGATGAGCCAGGCCCTCCCATTATTCTATCATTGCAGTAAGGGCAGTAGAAAATTGATTTATTTTTAAAAAGAATCATACGCCGTCAAAAATAGTTCGAATGTATTATAATGATAGGTTGGTTGGTCAACTTGTACAACTTAGCGACTCGGATGCAATGTAGACCTTTGCGTGGGTGTCGAGGAAGGAAGTGTGAGGTTCCCGTGGCGACAGCGTGTTTGACACGCATCAAGTGACAACCAGGACCTAATTGTCGCCACAGGTGAGCACACACGGAGATGTCGGGCGAACAAGGACAAATTCGTCTTAGACCTGTCTGGAAAACACTCAACACACTGTCTGGAAAAGTCCTCAACACACTGTCTGGAAAAGTCCTCAACACACTGTCTGGAAAAGTCCTCAACACATTGTCTGGAAAACACTTAACACACTGTCTGGAAAACACTCAACACACTGTCTGGAAAACACTCAACACACCGTCTGGAAAACACACAACACATTGTCTGGAAAACACTCAACACACTGTCTGGAAAACACTCAACACACTGTCTGGAAAACACTCAACACACTGTCTGGAAAACACTCAACACACTGTCTGGAAAACACTCAACACACTGTCTGGAAAACACTCAACACACTGTCTGGAAAACACTCAACACACTGTCTGGAAAACACTCAACACACTGTCTGGAAAACACTCAACACACTGTCTGGAAAACACTCAACACACCGTCTGGAAAACACTCAACACACCGTCTGGAAAACACTCAACACACTGTCTGGAAAACACTCAACACACTGTCTGGAAAACACTCAACACACTGTCTGGAAAACACTCAACACACTGTCTGGAAAACACTCAACACACTGTCTGGAAAACACTCAACACACTGTCTGGAAAACACTCAACACACCGTCTGGAAAACACTCAACACACTGTCTGGAAAACACTCAACACACTGTCTGGAAAACACTCAACACACTGTCTGGAAAACACTCAAGTCCTCAACTTGTACGCCTTGCCATGGGTCAGATGTACACTGATGGACAAAACTTAAGGAAGTTGTACCTTGGGCATATTCAGGCCAAAAAGGAGAGCAATTTTTGAACCATTGAACATAATAGCACACTAGACAGTTATATATTTGCATAAAATATTTATTAATTGAATAAAATTTATTGATATCTCCGATTTAATATACTAGGTTTAAAGAGATATTTGGTACTTTATTACTTTACTATACTATCTTCGGGGCTAGGTCATAGAACAATACACACTCATGAACAAAACTTGAAATAAAGTTGTACCTTTTAG